AAAGAGCGCATTGTGTGGGCAGGGAGGTTGGGACCTTGGGAGGCATCAGCTGGGTTGACTTAAACTGCCATGGGATTGTAGGCTCCTTCTACAAACATGTTTTCTTTTTTTACACAGAAAAGAAATAACATTTTATCCCATTTTAAATGAAAGCAGAGATACATTCATCTCCTGACCTCTTCTTCGTCTTGAACTTCCTGGTTACTGCAGGCTTCTCAGTCATTGTACCAAAACCAGCAGCAGTGATTTGTTAGACTGTCATTAACAAACAATGCTTCTGCCTGATCTTCGCTCTAACATTAGCTGCCTTAGAAGAAACTGGGCCTTGAACTTTTTCAAGTGGGTATTAAAAATCCCTTCCAGTGATGGCTCTATCTTTGGCCTTCTCCAAGGATGCAGACAATTCATTTCAGTGATATGCTATTGCTGAAACAGTCTCTAGCACTGCTGAAACTTTGGTGAGATATATCAGTTAAACTGCAAGCAAACACCTTTTGCTAGAGCACTCAACCCTACCGCATGGGAGATAAATCAGTTGCATGTGTGAAATCATATCTGTAAAATAACTGGATGCAATGAGTTCAGTGTAGGTTTTAGGTACCCCAGTTTAACAGTAGGTCTATGCCATCAAACTGAAAATACCTGGAAACAGAATTGTGGAATTCAGAAAAAACTAAAACTCATGAAATTTCTGAGCTTACCACCTTGGACAGGTGCATGAGCATTTAAGTAGTAAAGTCTTGTCTGTTACAAAAGTGTCATTTGAAAGCTTCACACAAACCAGCTCCCAGTAATTTTATACGAGCTTTATTCTCTCACTATTGCTAACAATTGATTGTTTAGAGTAAAATAGATCTAGCTTGCTAAATCATGATTTCAACAAGTCTCATTAGTATCAGTGAGCCTATATGGAGGACAAGGAACGGAAGTTTCTCCAAAACTTCATTGTCATGTTTGTGGGTTGATTGAACTTTTGCTTTTGTTTTCTTCAAATTATGATCTCCTACATATAACTCAAATCAAAACAGAGAAGCAATATAAGTTCAATCTTTACCATGTGTATTCAGACATGAATCTTTTGCATTCACTCAGTAGCCCACATGTTCTTCTGGATATATACTTAAGGCATGTGTCCAGTATAAGTAGCTGCTCATATAATTTGGAATTGCAGAGATTTTAAATAATATGCATCTGTGAAACAAATTTTAATGGCTCTATTGCCCACATTTATGAGTATACCTCAGTGTCTTGTTGTAGAGAATGCCATGCAAGAGACATTGCTCACTGTGAGCTTCTTGAAAAGAGCTTTACTAAATTCTTTTTTCTGGAAGTTTACCTGCTATGGACCTTGTCTTACTATATCCTGTGTCACTCAATAACACTGCTGAGGTCATCCATGATGGAAAAAAGAAAGATTTGGCTAAGTTACTTCCTTATCTTATCCAATCAGAGGGTTCTAATGAGTTGCACAGGCTCCCAACATGAGTTAGGTCAGCTAGCCAGGGAGTAAACACGTGCACAGTAGTGCTTCCTCAGCTTGGGTTTGAACAGTGATTGGACTGACTTGTGACACTGGGCTTGGACTTTCTCTAAGGTCTGTGTAACACTGAACTGATGGGCAATACTTAAGAAGAACGTTAACGGTAGAGGCAGGTCTTCACAGGATCACAGAATGGTTGAGGTTGGAAGCAGGGGTCAAACCCCCTGCTCAAGCAGGGCCACTCAGAGCCAGTTGCCCAGGACTGTGTCCAGGTGGCTTTTGAATGTCTCCAATGGTGGACACTCCGCAACCTCTCTGGGCAACCTGTATCAGTGTTTAGTCAGCCTCACAGTATAAAAGTTTTTCCTGATGTTCAGACAGTGCCTCCTGTGTTTCTGTTTGTGCCTGTTGCCTCTTAAAAATCTTGCACTACTGTAATGAAATATGTTGCTAGAAAACTTTCCTCTCTTGTATTCTTAAACATCATGGAAAAAAAAAAATCCATTAAAATAGGGCAAATACATTTTCATCATGCTTACTCTGTTTTCCTTAAGAAAATGCAGTATAGTGGGTTAAAGGTAAATGAATCACCGATCTCCAAATATCAGATTTTTATCTACCTATATACTGATTTCTGAAAATACAATTTCCAATTCATCTCTGATATTCTTTTATGCTTCAAATTGTTGTTTTATGTAGTTTAAATAGCAGCTGGGACAATCTGATAAAAATGCACAGAAATATTAGCAGTTTTAATCCAAACATTTATCAGAGCTGTGAAGCCTGCAGTTTTACAGTACAGAAAATATGAAAGATGCAATGTCTTTAGAGAACTTGAATGCCATAAGTTAACAGCTGCAACTTCATATAGCTGTGCATTACTCTGCAATCATAAACTCAAGCTATGAGCGCTCTTCCCAGTCTGAACACTCATGACCAATTTGAATAGAAATTATTCACTCAAGATTTGGGAAGCAAAGCAAAGAGGCTGAAATGAATTATTCATAAATTGCTCCTGAAGAGGTAAATACCATAAGGTCAGAACTTCTCAAACCAGTTATGAACACTGCAGCAAAATCCTTATTAACCTATGAGTGTGCTTTGGGTGGTGTGTTGGATCTACGTATTAAGAAACAGTTTTGAAATTTTCTGTTTGCTAGGTAATGTCAAAAAGACTCGAGGACATTGCCCTGAAGGCTCAGTGAAAGTGAATCAGTCTCCTGCTCTTTTAGGCTTCTTAATACGTTGCAATGCCTCTGAACCCTCTTTCCTCCTCTGCTATTCCCCACTATCCCTCTATGCTTTTTTGAACCAGATTTGTCTAAGATATCGCCTAAATTTATCCATGTGTCTCCAAAATTGCAAATGATAAACTGGAGTTAAGCCAGTTGACTTTAACAGGAGTGTATGTAGTCGTGCCTGTTAAATCATAGTCTCTGTGATTTTTCTGATCAATGCAGAGAGATATTAATTTCAAATATATATTTCATGCTTAGAGTTAACTTTCACCTAATTTGTCCCTTTCATTGAAAATATATCTTGGCCTTCAGTCATAGTTTGTAGGCAGGACTATATCAAGCCAATAAGTATCTATCACCCAAAGCCATCTGGAATCTGGCTGCTCACCTGAAGATTGTGCAGATGTTAAATTGGATAAAATCTCCTCTTTGAACACTATTAGGTGAGTTAGGTGTCTCAGTCTTTATGCCTGGATGTGGGCAGGATAAATGGCTCTTATACAGGAAAACAGTGAGTAATATTGTAGCTACTGCAGAAAATTTCACATATGCTTTACTGTGTTGTGTTGGCAAGGCTCCGAAGCAACATGAAGAAAGGGCACATTGCTCACAGTGCTAGCACATATGATTAAAGATACAGCAAGACAAGTAGCAATCTCTCACAAGAGATTTAAAAATCACTTATTTAGAAAAACGATGCTTCCAAATCACTGAGCAAGATAAACAGCCCACAGGGAAAACTTGATCTTATTATAATTTGAACTACTAGCTACTCTGCTACTGTAGCTCAGAATATTCAGATGTTCTGGATACCTTCCAAAATCTGTGGCCCCACCAATCTTTAGATGTTGGTTTTAAAATGGTTGGGTTTTTTTTCCTTTCTTTCTTTTTTCTTATTTTAAAAGACATTTTTCAATTACATTTATTCTTTTGCTTAGAATCTTTAAGAGCTATACAATGTATAAAGCATGAAAATACTAATTTCCTGAGGTAATCTCTTGTCACTTACTGAATGGAAACATGAGCTATATGTTTATACCAGTAATAACAACACCATGGTGGTTTGTTTGGAGCAGGTGCATATGTTACCAGATAAAAGCAGAGGTATGACAACTGTTTTCCTTGACTTCTGAAACTTCACCAACTTTCAATGATGAAATCTCTATAACTCTTCTTCTAATCTTGTTTGTCCGTCTGTCATTTTCGTTTTAATGGTGGCTCTGCTTTTCTGATATACCTGGTTACAGTAATCTTTTACAGTCATTCTTTAGCCCCACGGGCTACTGCACCTGAATTAATTATAGCAAGTGCTGCAACAGAACAGTAATAATGTTCTTTGAGGTGTGTATTACACCAGATTCCCAGATGGATGAGTTTTTTAATAAACTCAGCTTCACCGCATGTATCAGTTTTCTCAACTGTCTAGTAAACAAGTTTACACGTGCAGCGCTCTCTCACACACTTGCACATGATTTGTCTGGGCTAAGGAACCACAGTGATATACATCAAGCAAAGGTGAAAAGTCATTGCACATATAGGTAATTTTAATCCATTCCATTTTTAAATACCACAATAAATTTAATTTTCACAATAAATTAAATAGCCATATTCAGTTTACAAAATAGAATTACTTAGTGTGAAACCAGTATTTACAAACATTGTACACTATGTACACCATGTTTAGCTTTGTCAACACACAAGCATAGAAGAAAAAATTATTTGACCTTTTTTTGACACATGATTGACATGCTACAAGTGACACTATGGTCCATACAATAAAACAATAGTGCAAACTCACCACAGGAACTCTGAAACAATGTCATTTGTATGAGATAAGATATTCATTTCAAATAATAAGAAAATAGTACTATCCACTCTCATAGTAAAAATTCAGCACTGTGTTTAAAGTGTCAGTATTCCTTTAGCAATATACATACCAAATATAGCCTGAAGATTATGCTTTCTCACAGCTTCACAGACTTTGACATGAATTTTTATGGCATAAACTAATGTTCTGCTTAGATCGATAAGTATGTCACATAAACACTTCACTAAGCAAGAGGAACACTGACCCTTTTAACGGTGTCTGACTTCATTTCCCTAAATACCTCCTTTCCCTTTATTATTATATCTTAAAAGATGCAACTATGCTGACAGTAAATTTATGTTAGTTACTACTCTGTAGAAAAAATTGATCCCACTGTATATTTGGTCACACACTGCATATGTACACGTATGCATGAAAAAAAGTTACTTTGATAGCCGTGTCTATGAAAAGTGCATATTTTAGCAGAGACATTTATTGCCTGTCTCAGGTGCAACAGAAAGTGTGTTATGAAGTTTAGTTTAGGGCCAGTTAAATGTCCTCCCAGTGATCTGGTAAAATTTTTGATTAAAAGGATGAAAGAACTTGCGCAATTTGTTAATGACAGAGGTATCCACCTCTGGATGGATGCGTCCCTTGCTACCCGCCAGGCACTTGTTAAAGACAATGTTAAATCGCAAGCAGTAAAACCCTCTGGTGGCATTGAAGTATAAATTGTACTGACTTATCCTCGGAGGAAGATTTAGGAACTTCTCGACCAGCTGGAGTTCTGGCAGTGGTTCTGTGATGAGCCGGTCTCCATCTACGATATGAAACTGCTCGATTGGGAAGTATTTTAACCATCTCTCCAGATGTTTTGTGTAGATGCTGGTTCTCACCGCCTTATACTTAGTGTTCACTTCGCAGGTATTAGGATCAATAGCCAGCTTCTCAAATTTGTAGTAAGTTTTATTCTTCCTTTCCTTACCTTCCAGCACCTGAGTGTAATCAGAAATAGCTCTTGTGGTAGGTTCCCTGACAATGATCAATAATTTGATAGATGAGTTCATTTTGTAAATCCTTTCAGGTACTTCCTCAGTGATAAAATACGCAGGGCTTTTCTCAATTGTTATTTGATGAGGGTAAGAAAAAGGCATTTTTTTCCGGTACCACTCAATCCCCTTGGCATAGTTCTCGTCATTGTCAAAGAAGTGAATCTCTTGAGAAGCTTTGACCACTGCAGGGTGAAGGTTCAGCATCTCCAGCAGTGCTCGGGTGCCGCCTTTCCGCACCCCAATGATGATGGCCTTGGGAAGCTGCTGAACCAGATTGTGCAGTCGTACTTGTTCCTTGGTGGCATTGCCCTTTCGGAACTCATGAAGCAATCCTCGCTTGAACTGCAGAGCTCGCAGTGGGATTTCGTCCTGGCCGCGGGGTCCAAATCGACCATCGATGGGGCAGAGGGGCTGCAGTCTGCAATCAAAATAAGAGGCATTTGTAAAAAAAGGATATCTCTTAGGGCAAGTTTTCTGTCACGCTCATGGAAACCTTTTGCAATGTAATGTGATGTGCCCATCTTTCAACTTTTGTTTTATTCTGCCAGTGATTAAATTCTTTGCAAATAGTTTGATTATTTAGTCTGGTAGTTTGCTGTGATTTGGCTGAATAACTCCTATCTCCACCCTTCTGCTCTTTTCAAGCATAGGCATTATGATTACTGTTCTCAGGCCTTCTTGAACCTTGCTTCACCTCCCCCAGGGCTGATTACTTTGCGATTGATTGGGCAGTTTTTAGAGCATTCTAAGATGAATTTTATTTGGTCATTTTGATCTGAAAATCCAGTTAATTTAAGTTGTCTCTTTCCAACAGTTTTCCTATTCTAGCCTGAATTCTTTCCTGTGCTTCCCATTGTGTTGACTTTATTAACTGTTGATCCAAAGTTGGCCTCTTTAGTGAAGAGGAGCAAAAGGGGTGAAAACGAGCTCTCTAGGCATCACCTTTTGATATTTTCCCTCCTCTTTAGAAGACAGCTGGTGTTTTCCCCAGGACAGAATCAGGAAGACCAAGGTTCTGAATCAGCCATGATTAGCAAGGCACAGACAGAACGGCAAGAAAAGATTTAAAAAATGCATTTATTGCATCATTACATCAATGATTTTCTTGTTATCACTTATGTATCCTCCCACTGAAGCTCATGTTGTGCCTTACTGTTTCTTCTTTGCCGCTGCATTTTTGTGCTATTCTTTTATATTCGCCTGCAATTATTTCACCTATTTTCCACTTTTCTAATGCTTCCTTCTTGTATTTGATGTCACTGAATGCAAGAAATTATTCAGTAAGAAAAATGTTAAAATTTTGCTACTACAGAACCTTGAATAAGCCCTCACCTCCAGTCCCAAATCAATGCTTTGGTCATTATACAGGCCAGTATTGCACTGAAGATGAAATTGGTATGTAGAGAGAAGTTCCAAAGTCCTACAGAAAAATATCATTAATAATTATTTGGAGAGCCATGCTCTCCAAAATTAAGGATATGTAAGAACAAAGGTTGCCTAGGCAATTTTAATATGAGCTTGCTGTGCATATGTATTATGATACGGTTTTTAAATTACATGGCCACATGCTATTATTTTTCACAGGACCCCTGCCTCAGCCAGTATACCATATGGGCAATGCTCATTAATAGCTGTTTAGGTATTCAGTATTTATTCTGGTTTCTCAGCATGTGGCCCCTCACTCATTTACTGTATATTATTCAAACCCTGCTTTCAGGACAGAATTATTTATTTCTTTATGGCTTTTCCATCCATCACTGCTTGTTGGGGTCTCTAATTTGACACTGATGCCAGGACAATGGATGGCTGGGACAAAGTCAGTTTGATCCCCCTGGCTGACCCACTAGCTGTTTCCTTGATTATCCAGATGCTGAGAGATATAGCCTGCCCGAACAGAGCCGAAGAAACAACCCAGATGACATTGCTGGGTTCACATGAGCTCTAGCTAAGTTCTGCAAACTAATTAGAAGGTGTGATGAGAAGTGAGTTCCTGTTGTTATTTCTTTTCTCAAGTTTCCACTCTCTTCCTTTGCTCTCTGCCATCTACTGAATAAGAGCCTGACTTCATTGCAAAGACTAAATCATTGCAACGCTGATGCAAACCTGCCAATGAAAAAACCAAAACCAAAAGCAAACAAACCAAGCAGAAAGCAATGTCTTAACTTGACAGTGGTACACTGTGGTGTGGCTGGTAAGACAGTCTTTCTGCAGCAGCAAGGTGGCAGTTAAAAGCATAAGAAACAGAAGCTGCAATTGCTATCTCTGTTCATCTCTTCCCTCTCCTTCTGTGTATTTGTTATTTGTTTTCAAGCAAAAAGGATTCCAAAACAGCAGTTCCAGACCCATCTCAACTAATTTATCTTTTTTGCTCAAAAAGACAGTTAGCACTGCCTTCAGTGTAACACAACAGCTTGTCAAACAGGGTGGTTTCCTTTAAAAGTAAATAAATACTCAAGATATCCTCTAGCCTAAGGGAAAAGACTGGATGTTGTTAAAAGTCCTTCCTCAACACTTTAAATTTCAGTTTTTTACTCTTTCACCTTTCTTCTCTCTCTAAGCAATAAAAAATATCCTTTAAAAGATCTTGGCAGTGGTGGTATTAAGCAGGCTGTCAGATCTTGGTAGTTGAATCCCCAGATGTAACTATTTACTGTTATATCATAACATGTTAATACTTTTGATTCTCTGTGTCATTTTTTCCATTAAAATAACAGAGTCCTTCACAAGGAAAGAGTAGATGACTTTTATTGTATCACTGAATTTGCTCTCCCAAAACAGGCAGTTTCTCAAAGTGCTACAGTGAAACTCCACAAATATTCTTCTTGAGAAAACCCACCATAGAACAATTAATCTCAGGGAACTATATTTTTGACAAATTTTTTAAAAAAAAAGTACAGCTGGGCAATATTAATGACAAGCAGCACTGCTGTCTCTCCTGATCCAGAATACTTGCTAATTTGCTTCCAGCAGAGGTGTCACAGTGGCAAAAGATTATGAGCCTGGTTCCAGCAGGAGCGGTTCGGAGCATCAAAATCAGGTGTGGAGGCTGCCAGTACTGCCAATGAGAGAGTCAGGCAACTCAAAGACCGGTCCAGATCTTCTCAAAATTGCCAGGCACAGAATCTGTTTGAACTTCCACATGTGAAGCAAATCCATGCACTCAGGATCTGAAGGATGGCAGCCTCCCCTGGAGGGAAGTGCTGAGCTTATCCGAGTTTATGACTCAATGAATCAGATAAGCTAGTAGTAATTTCCCTTCGGGCTAAGAAAACTCAAAACATTCCTGTTGAAGAGCCTAATCTCAAGCTACTAAATGTGGGCCATCCCCAGCTCTCATGTTCAAATTGGAGCTGCGTAAATTAAGCATAAATGAAACTGGATTTCTTCCTGAACAATTAGTTATTCCAAAGTCTATTCAAGCCACTCAGTGTCCTTTTACTGACAGTTTCAACAAGTTTGGACTGTGCCCTAGTGCTGAGGCAGAAGAACATTTCCACTTAATTAATCTGTGTCTCATCCTTTCTAGTACTTCCTTCTCTCTCTCTTTCATAACCAGTCCAAATAAACAGCTGCTTTTTAGCAGTGTGGTATTTTTCACACTGGGTAATGCAAGAGAACGAAACCGAATTTTACTGCCATTGGCAACATTATATATGAAACCAGCGGAATTCACTGCCGCAGGAGGTCAGTGAGTCAAATACTGTGGCGAGATAATTTTATAGCCATCAGTAAATTCTGAAGATGTGCAAGCATAGATAATAGCATAGGGTTAATTAGATTTCATGCCTCTGAGCATAAAATATACTTTTGCAGGGACCAGTAAGGCATTCTGCCTCCATTTACAGAATCATATTAGTCTCAGTGAAGTTTTCACCTCTGAAGCATCAGAGATGCTTTGACCACCAAGGGGAAGAAGATATAAATTCTGGGGCTTAATTTGCAATGCATTTGGTCCTAGCTGAGTACTTGGTCTCCCTCTTCTTCTGGAGTAGATTTAAGCAGCTGAAGAAGACACCCGGTGACCTCAGATGGAGCTCAACGTTACCTGGCAATGGACACTAGGTAGCTCTGTTTTCAATTCACTTTCTGTGCACTGCATATTCACACAGCATTGTGTCACAATTTTGAACTCAACTAATATTTTCCATCATTTAAAAGAAGAACACTAAAAAAACATTAGCACTGGCAAGCTGCCTACCAGCTTGTGGAAATCTTGAAGTCTTGTTTCATTCATTCTTTTGAAACAACTTTTTTTTTATCCTGTCTTTGTGTAGCACCTACCAGAGCAATCCCAGGCCATTTTGAAGGTGACAGAAACAGCAGTGTCAGTGCAGGTAGCACTACTGTTGCACTGTCAATAACCAGTCAAAACTCAGCCTGGTCAAAAGTGCCAAATACTCTTTGATTTCCTCTGCTGGATTTTCTACTGCTCTCCAGGAAATCACTTGCAGAGTAAACCCACTTATTAGCACATTCAGCTCCAGAAAATACTGGCTAATTAAAATAGTTAAATTTCTCAAACCCTGAAGCAATCTTTCAAGTGAAATAGTATTCAAAACTTGACAAGCTACTCTGCAGGCTCATACTTAATTTTAACTACCACTGTAGCACATTAATTGCTTGCTCATAAATTTAGAAAAGACGATATATAAATACATCGTAACTGTTTCCTGAAACTAGAGGTCAACACACAGATGCACACAGACAAAAATGAGCTACTGTAATGACATTTTTACTGGATGTTGTTTTATTTCTTCTCTGAAAACAAGTGCCAATGTGCTTAGAATACAAATAGACAGATAGAAATACTTTGACAGGGATGACCTGTGACTCTATTTTCCTACTCTCTTCTCCAAAGGGCAGGAAAGAACAATGAAAACCAGTACTGCAATAGACAGTCTTTCTGTCTTTCTATACAGGAGTAGACACTTAAAAAAAAAAAAAAATCAGAGCCTTTAAGCAAAAACTCAGACAATCTGAGCCCATTTATAATTAAGAGAGCAGCTACTTGATGACTTACCTATCCAAGCTCCCAACTCTGGCAACTAGATATAGGAGACTTCCAATAGCAAGGCTGCCTAGCACAAAGAGCTTCTGTCTCAGCAACGCCTGCTGTTTGAATAGCATGGCCCTCCATCAATCTTCAGGACTTCTTCAGTCTGCAGAGACAAGAACACATAAAACACTCATCAGAAAGCGATATGCAGGGTAATGTCTAGTCAGATGTTGCAAGTGATTAAGCCACACTTGCAAAATCTTTTCAAACTGCAAAATAAGTAGTTAAAACTCTTTTTTTTGCTATTGCTTTTCTATCCCACATGGTAACACCAGGCAATGTATCTGGGATAGGGTGATAATTCTGGAAGTGACAGTTCAGCTACACCTACCATTACTAGGGCTGTCTGATAGCCACACTCTGGGTCTTGATGGTGTAGAGGCTTGTATTGTAATAGGATCTCTTGTTAGGTAAATATGTTTAGACTTCAAGCCCTTCGGAATCAGCCTGGGCTAGATTTCAACAGAGATTTAAATACTCTGCTGCCAAGTGAGGCATCAGTAACCAGGAGTTAGGCTTGCAGGTCCTGTGCACACAGTCTGTGGGACCACATTTACTGTGTCTCTATTATTATTAGAGTGTAAACTGGAGAGAAATCTAAAATGGTGTATTTCCTGATCTGTGCCAGCAAGCCCCTGATGACAGACCTGAGAAACGTGTAGCTGGGGTGGGCACAATGATTTTTCAACACCAGTACATCCTATCAGCTCTCCCTGTGCTGGCTGTCAGCCCAGATTTCAGCAACACAAAAGCATAGATTTAAATTTCCTTTCCTGATGTTCACCAGAGACCATCTAAAACCCACAAATGAGCTTTGCCTCAAATACTTTAGGTATGAGGCAAGCATGAGTCAGAAGATGTGACCTTGTCCCAAGAAGATTGAACCAGAATAACCAGGAGGTCCCTGGGTAAGGTAGGGGGAAGTGCTGAGTAAACCTGTTTGTCTTTAGCCTGACTCTTTCTTAGGCATGACTTTTGTATTCAGGACTGCAGACCTGTTTAGGAGACTCAGAGCTGGATGCCCAAATACCTTCTTGCAAGAGCTGAGGAGAAAGATTAGTCCCTCCTTTCAGAGCACAACCAAAGATGATGTGGTTCTTCAATCTCTACCCGTCCTGGGCTTTCTTATAAATGTACAGGAGGTATAAGTTCAAATCCTCTCAGTGGCTCAGTGGTTGTAAAGCCGTATCGTCTACCTACCAAGTGAATGCTTTAATCACCAAATTGATCCTTTTGATATAAACCCCATAAATATAAACTGGAATCACCTGAACTACTCATCCATATTCTCACTCCCTTTTCTTCTGAATTTTGGCTGGACTTACTTTGTACATTTTTTGATGTCAAGTTTCTTATCTTTTACTACTAGTAAAACTCCTTCTGCAGCTTACTGTCTTCTTTTCCAGCCTTAGGACTTGCATCAAAGAAGACTGGGATAGACTATTATAAGCATATAACTAAATACAGAAGCAGAATGGGTAGCGAGAGTGCAAGGTATGACTGACCACTGTTAAACAAAGTCTGCAAATGTTTCTTTGTCCTGCCCAAACTGTTAAATTTTTGGCCCGAAAAGCTCTCATGAGACTCCAGGATACAGTTTGGGAGCTTCTACAAGCCAGGGACCATTCCCAACAGACTGCATGCATGCAGCCTGCCTGCCTTAGTGCTGGCTGAGTTTAATGGTATGGATGCAGGTTACTTCATACAGGTTGTCTTCAAGGTTGGTAGAACAGTCATTCCCAAGCACATTTATTTTACCGCTATAGAGAAAGCCTTTGTAAGACCAGCCCATCATCTCTTAAAAAAAGAGCCATGCAACATTGGACCTCTGAGTCTGACTGAGTCTCTAACACGCTTCTGGTGTGCCATTAATAATAGCAACTCCTTATACAGCCAGGTCATAAGGTAACCTATCATACAGGATAACCTATCATACAGAATATATTGCTTTTTACATAGATAAAAGCAACTCTATAATAAGAATTCTTAGATAAGATCCTCACAGCAACAAGAATCATATAAAACACAGAGTAAAAGGAGTCTGCAATGTAAATACAGAGACAGAAGAAGTATTATCATCCTTTAAAAAATAAATGAGGAGCAGAGGTACAGAGAGATTAAATGATTTGCTCAAGGTCACAGAAAAAACCTGTAACACCAGTGTGTGAAATGCCTGAGTTCCTATCTAGTGCATTAACTACCTGATAAACTTTTGCCTTTTTTGTGGTATACTTTTTCTTAACATTGAAAAATAAACATAAAAATGACATCTAAATCAGGAATTCCAGACATCAAGCAAGGCAGAAAACCTATAGCTGAAACTTGATTATTAAGAAAAATGCACAGATACTGTATCTCTATGTTGATATGCTACTGCTAATTAGTTTTTTAATTAAGTTGTTTAATTAAAAAAGACAAAAGAGAAGGCCATCATGATGATGATGATGATGATGATGATGATGATAATGATAGCAAATTTTTACAGGTTTCCAGTTTTAAATCCTTCAGTGGTGCGCTCTCCGAATAAAAGTTTCACTTCAGCATTACAAAAATTGGTTCTGAACTTAATCTCTTAGAAAACTCTATACATGAAACTAAAGTGCTGTCCATATGTTTTCCCTTATATAGGCTCTTGGGCCCCAGTAAAGTCCTACCTTCAGGCCTCACTAAGGTTGTGGAGGTCATCAGGATGTAATGAAATCAAATTAATGACAAGCTGTTTCCTGAAATAGATTCCACAAGGTCTCATGCCCTCAGCATTCATGTTCTCAATAAGCTTCAATGCAAAAAACCCAACCCAAACCAACCAACCAACCAAAAACCCCAAACAAAAACCAGTTCCATTTGCTCTGTGTTTGCATGTATGTGAGTACAGAAAACTTTTCCACAGAACAAGTACTAAACAACCAGTAGAAATGCAAATGTAACATTATTAATTTGCTTGTTTCATTTTTGTTATCACTTTCAGCATCTATAATTTAAAGTTTGTGGAAAAAAATGTAGAGAAATAATATCTCAGCTTCAGAAATGGCTACATCTTGCAATGGACGTACTGAGATAGCTCTATGTGACAGAGAAAAGGATGGAAGAAAAACTTCTATTTAAGCCACGGAGTTAATACAATGAGAATGTGATTAAGGTGAAGGTCCCTAAGGCAGAAATGTTTCTGAAGACTAACACGGCAACACTTAAATGAAATGGAAAGAAAAAAATGAAAAGGAAGAAATGAAAATTCTGGGACACATTCTAAGCTGCACAAAGTTTTCTATAAGGACCGCATACTTTTAAACTTAACAAGAAGCTGGAAGGCAAGATTGTATGTAATCCAATGTGACAAGATTTTAGCAGTTATTTGAGGCAAATAAGTTTTTTCTTTAAAAAATTTTTGCTCTCTGTTAGGGCCGACAGCTGAACTGGCACACAAGCTATTGACTGGTAGAAGGAGGCTTTGGAAAGCTACAGGCAGAACTCTCCCAGCAGTCGGATGCTGAATGTGGAACCTCCTACCAAAAGACATGACACAGTATACTGTTGCACATCTCCAGTGGGCTTACATCAGAAATATCTATCTTTAGCAATCTCATTAAATATGCATATGAGGAAAGTCCCTTCCTGGATACCCAAGAGAGTCATGATACACAAAGAACAACACAATTCACAATGTGGAATGCATAATTTCTAGAAATGAAAGTGTGTACAGTATCATGTAGAGAAAAAAATGCAATGCACAGCTGATCTATCTTGTTAGATTGACATGCTAAAGTTAAATAAAGAAGCTTCATTTAGCAATAGAAAGTAGCCTTATCAGCGTATTGATGTGAATGCCTCACCCAACCCCATTCCCCATGTTCCCATCCCTGCTGGTGAGAGGAGTGGGCTTATTGAGTGAATTGCCAAGAGAAAACAGTACAGCTAACTGTGATGATAATACCAATTGAAAAACAGATGGACTGTTCCTGACAAGACAAAGTGATCATGGATGAAGGAAGATATTGCATGTGCTGGCCAAATAATGTGAATTTTTGGTGAACTCTTGTAAAAGTTAGTTTTAAGATCAAGTTAGGTCAAAGTCAAATGAAAAGGAGAAAAAAGAAAAAAAGCATACCAATAATGACGGTATTACTGATAACAGTCTGAATTTGATAACACCGCAAATTGTGCAGAAGCACTGAAAACAGAAGCTGTTGCTATAATCACCTATTCCAAATAAACAGACAACAAGACAAGAAGATCACCAGGAACTTGTTTGAAAATGATCACAGGGAAATTTTTGGACGCATGGAGCAGAGATGAGAAGACGCTACTGATAAATGAATAGCATGTGGCCGATTATGGAGAGAAGTGTAAGAAAGGAAGACAACATATAATCCTTTCATAAACAGACTGAAGAGATACAGTCTTAATGGAGTGATGTGATTAATTAAAAGTGAAGTACAAACCACAGGCAAATATGCACAAAGGAGGCTGGGAAAATAATAAATAGGAGGTGGTTTTTTTAGTTGAATTTATCAATCAGCATAGATTTTTTTTTTTATTTTGCACACCAGCAGGGGTCATCTGTTGACCAACAAATATTTGTCTTCATACACTGTGAAAAGATCTTTGAGTTTATGTGAGATTTAAATACGGTGACAGAAAACAAGTCAGGGAACTGATCACTTGGCATGTTTCCATTTCTCTTGATTTTGCATTATGTTTCTTGAATGTTAACTACAGCTTCTGGCATTTGTCACTGTAAGTAAAATTCATACAAATCAAGCAGACTTTTTCTGGGGTAGGAAATCACATGGCATTTGGGAAAGGATGGAATCTACCCCTCAAATTGTGTGCATCAGCTCATCAGTTCATCTTCTTCATGGTCTGGCTGGAATTGCTGGTCATGCTCCTTTTCCTTCTTTAGCCTCCTCCAAGTCCTCCCCTTGCCCTTGTGCTATCTCACCACTGATGAAGCTCTAGGCTAGTGGCAAGGAAAAGATACACTCCTGCTCTACTTTTTCCCCAGCACCCTTTGCTTCAGTGGTTTAATTGCGACAGTACTACTGCACCATGTGGACTGTATTAAAGAACTAGAATAATCATGATAAAGCAGAACATGATTTTTCA